CCTCGCCTTCTCGATCCAGCAAGAGGGGCGAAGTAGTAGATGAGTTCCAGCAGCACGACGGCGTGGTGACGGTGTTGGTGAAGAACAATCTCCGCAGGGCTTCGCCTAAGCACTACAAAAACTATGTCGGAGGATAAACTAGAGGGGTTGCCGGCACACGGCTTGGTGTTTCTTGATGTGTCTTTGGTGCTAGCCCTACCCCTCTATTTATATGTTGAGCCCTGGGGTCGAAACTTGGAGTAAAAGCCTCCTCAAAGTCGGTTTCACCCGAAAGGCAAGAGTCCTTCTCGAACTCCAGGGCTAGACGCCAGGGTTCCTGGCGTCTAGCCTCTAGTCTCCGCAAAACTTCCTTTTGCACTTTCCAAAAGCCACATGGGCTTTCCCCTTTGGCCCAGATAAAGTGTTCTCGTGCCCAAACATTTCGGGAAACATCCGGAACCCCTTCCGGTGAATTCCGGAACCCTTCCAAAGATCAAACACTACTATCCACATATCAATCTTTACTTCCGGACCATTCCGGAGTTCCTTGTAATATCGGTGATCTCATCCAAAACTCCGAACAACATTCGGTCACTAACATACATAACTCATAGTACTATATCGTCAATCGAACATTAAGCGTGCGGACCCTACGGGTTCGAGAACTATGTAGACATGACCGAGACACCTCTCTTGTCAATAACCAATAGCGGGACCTGGATGCCCATATTGGCTCCTACATATTCTACGAAGATCTTTATCGGTCAGACCGCATAACAACATACGTTGTTCCCTTTGTCATCGGTATGTTACTTGCCCGAGATTCGATTGTCGGTATCTCAATACCTAGTTTAATCTCGTTACCGGCAAGTCTCTTTACTCGTTCCGTAATACATCATCCCGCAACTAACTCATTAGTTGCAATGCTTGCAAGGCTTATAGTGATGTGCATTACCGAGTGGGCCCAAAGATACCTCTCCGACAATCGGAGTGACAAATCCTAATCTCGAAATACGCCAACCCAACAAGTACCTTTGGAGACATCTGTAGAGCACCTTTATAATCACCCAGTTACGTTGTGACATTTGGTGGCACACAAAGTGTTCCTCCGGTAAACGGAGTTGCATAATCTCATAGTCATAGGAACATGTATAAGTCATGAAGAAAGCAATAGCAACAAACTAAACGATCAAGTGCTATGCTAACGGAATGGGTCAAGTCAATCACATCATTCTCCTAATGATGTGATCCCATTCATCAAATGACAACTCATGTCTATGGTTAGGAAACATAACCATCTTTGATCAACGAGCTAGTCAAATAGAGGCATACTAGTGACACTCTGTTTGTCTATGTATTCACACATGTATTATGTTTCCGGTTAATACAATTCTAGCATGAATAATAAACATTTATCATGATATAAGGAAATAAATAATAACTTTATTATTGCCTCTAGGGCATATTTCCTTCAGCGCTACCTTAGTTGAAGGGCTAGCCCTCTCCCAGATGTGGTCCATCACTGGTCTCTAGCCCAGTGTTGTGGGACCGAACTCACCTCGCGCCCGGCAGCAGGACCAAGCTTGTCTCGCGCCTGGCAATAGGACTGGACTTCTCTCACGCCTGGTGCAGTAGGATGGGACGATGGAGGCCGGTTGTGACCGGCCTATTGGTCTCGGCGCTGGGGGCCGCCTAGGGGTGCGAAAGGCGGGACCTTTTCACTCGTCTCTTTGGTTGGAGTAGCCGCGGGTCTCGAATGAGGTGGTGTCAAGGCCTTTGATGCCGGGGCGGCGGCCTTGGTGGAGGTAGCGCGGTGCTCATCGGCCTAGCCCGTGGCTTGGTGCTGCCTGGTGACCATGGCCATGTAGGCGGTATGGTAGCCGGGGTGTGACGTTCGGTGGCGGTGAGTGTTGGTCAGGGTGAAAACCCGCTCTATCTTTGAACAAACCATCGGCGGTGAAGCTCATTCCCTTTTTGAAGGCGTCATCGGACCTTCATTGCCCGTCGTGTTCCTCCAGGGAAACTCTGACCCTCGGGTCAGACGGTGGCGGCACTCCAGCGTCGTTCCCTTCCAGAAGGCACCGCCTTGGTGTCCATGGTTCATCGTATGCGGCTTCATCTCTTTTCGGTGGCGTGTTCACGGGTGAGGACTCCGGTAGCTCTTGTAGTGCTTGGGGTGATGTTGCCGCGCTCAGTGCCTTTCTATATCTTGCCTTGGGTGTGTGTGTTGTGTTGGCGTGCGTTTGTACTGGGTAGTTGATGATCATTGCTTTATATATAAAGCGGGGTGAAAGCCTTTTTCGGTAAGTAACAAAGATTACATCCAAATCCATTGATCACCTAGCGACAACTACAAGCATTGGAGTGAGCGAAAGGCGCGCCTCTATCATAGCCCCTCGCTAATTGGAGCCCGGCAAAACTTCTTCAGGTAGTCAGTCGGGAAGTCATCGTGTTAAAATCCCACAGCCCACAGGACCATCGTCACATTCGTGCTACCAGGGAGCGCATAAATGGTTTGGGGGAGAGGCAAGAAGCATTGCGGGTCGAGCAGCAAGTGCTCTTCATTCGTCTAGCATCTCTCTATAATATAAGAGTCCGTAGACTCTTTTTAGTTTTCTAAGGTTGGCTTAAATTCAATAAATGTCTGGAGAAATTAGTTTTCATATCAGATGTTCTTTTGTCTTAGTTTGATTCCGATCTACTCCTAGTCGATGGTCTTACACCATTGGGATACTTCACATAAACTGGAGTACATATATGAGAGACCGGTGCTAAGACCTTTTATCGAGATATCTTCCAGATTCTTAGGGTCATTGCTCCGGATCTCCCCTTCCCCCTGCGGGTGCGAAAGCAGTTGGTTCAGTAGTTTCAGAGCAAAGCAATTCCAACATAAACTGACACTTTTGGATCCTCCAAGCCTTTCAATAGACCCATAAACTAAAAACTAGAACTACTAACACAGGTTGAAGAGGATGCATATGAACAGCAACTGCTGCCGATGAAGAGAATCGTAGATTGGAAGGATCCAACCCGAGGCACACAAATGAAGACAAGATCCAAGCTGTTTCACAGAAGACCGGCACCGACTGAATCCTACGAGATCCGCTAGAGACACACCGCCACATGCCCTTCAACTATGATAACCGGGTCGTCAAATGCGGAGTAGGCAAGGAGAACCTTATTCCATCTCTGGGGAGTTATCGTCACCTCATCTTACTGAGCAGTACACAAACCCTAACTGAATGGAAAATGCACAAAAATGAGAAAGATCCTTCCCGCCGCCAAGGGCAACAGTCCATCATGCTTCCTTGGCCCGGAGACCACAGGAGGCTGCTGGACAGGTGGCAACACAAACAGGAGGCAGAGGAACCATAATTGCATGTGCGCCTGAAGTCGGAAAACAAAAAGGTATGAGCACAAGTCTATCGATCACGCCGCCCGCGATGATGCTCTTTCCACCGCTCCAGGCCAGCCCGGGGTGCGGCATCATCAGTGCACCAACGTCAGGCAGTTCCCTTTCTAGCTACATGCGCAAGATGTCATCACAGGCCAAAGGCTTCGAGGTACGTACGTCGCTCCAAACTCATTCATGACCACTTTGCTAACCAACACACATACGCACGTACATGTGGCTAGAGATAGATAGATAGATAGATAAAGAGTGTGACTTATGTTTGAGCATGAGAGACTGTATACCGGTGAACATGACATTTTGGTGACGTTATAAAAACCTTCAATTCGCAACGCAAAATATTAAGTATTGCATTCTTTCTCATACTTAACTATTGGATGTAATAATGTCTTATATTATGAGATGGAGGGAGTATGTCATAATTATGCAAGTCGGAAACCCTTTGGGGGGAAAAGCAGTTTTTCATCGGATCATCAATTACGTGTAGCCAAAGTAAGGGAAATGAAATTAAGTGACAATATCTTCAACAGCAAAGAGTAAATGAATTACAAGACAACAAGCCCACATTAGGTAAGCAGTACGCACACACAAACCATGGCCGGGTCGACACGGCAAATTTTTACAGCACACACAACACATAAACTAACGCGCGCTGCCCACGCGGCTAGCCAGATTGGATGGGCTTGTCCTGTGATTCTTCTGCTGCTGGCTTTGGCTCCGGCTCCCCCGTGCCTACATTCGGCACCGGCACGCCGTTGGACGAGCTCTCCTCATCGGCACAAGGTCCTTCGTTGCTGCTACCAGTGCCGACACTCCTTCCCCGTAGCCGTACCTGTAGTATTGCTGGCCACGGCACACGTTGATTCATTTTTCTCCAGCGTATGCATGTGTGGTTTGCTGAAAGGGAAGTTGGTGCAAGTCTATCGATCATGTGGCGCGACGATGTCCTTTTCACCGCTCCACGCCAGCCCGCGGCACGCGCCCCATCAATACAACAAGGTCAGACACTTTCCTTTCCAGCTATGCTGGCAAGATGTCATCACCGGCCAAAGGCTTCAAAGTACGTATGTCGCTCCAAACTCATTCATGACCATTTTGCTAACCGACGCACATATGTATGCACATGTAGCGACAGAGCCAGAGATATAGATAGATAGATAGATAGATAGATAGATAGATAGATATATATAGAGAGAGAAATAGAGTATGACTTCCATTTAAGCGTGAGAGATCGTATGACCCGTTAATATGACATGTTCGTGACATCATACGAAGGTCTAATTTGCAACGCAAAATATTATGTACTACAGTGTGCATCACAATAATACAGAAGTCGGAAACCTTTTTGAGAATAAATGCGGTTTTTTCACCTGATCATCAATGATGAGTAGCCAAATTAAGCAAAACCAAATTAAGCGACAATAACTTCAACAGCAAAGAGTACATGAATTATTAGAGGACAAGCCCACATTAGGTAAGCAGTACATGAATTACTAGAGGACAAGCCCACATTAGATAAGCAGTACGCACACACAAACCATGGCCGGATCGACACGGCAAATTATTACAGTACGCAGGATGCAGAAGCTAACGCGCGCCGCCCACGCAGCTAGCCAGATTGGACGGGCTTGTCCTGCGATTCTTCTGCTGTTGGCTCTGGCTCTGGCTCCCCCTTGCCCTCCCCCGGCGCCGGCACGCCGTTGGACGAGCTCTCCTGGTCGCCAATGCCGGCTCCTCCGTTGCTGCTACCTGCGCCGTACGCTCCTTCCCCGTACCCGTAGTATTGCTGGCCCATGACACGCTCTCCGCCGAACACCTGGTACTGCCCGCCGACGTTGGCCCGCACCGGTGCCATTCCGACGGCGTACCCGTGCACTGGAGCCCGGGGCCCATAGATGCCCTGCTGCATCTGAACCTGTAGCGGAGCCGGGGAGCATACACAGGCCGCTGCACCTGATTCTGAACCTGCACCGGAGCCCGGGGAGCATACACGGGCCGCTGCATCTGATTCTGAACCTGCACCGGAGCTGGGGGCGCGTACATCGGGGGCTGAGCCTGTAGGAATAAGCCACGGCGGGGCTGAGAGCGTGCGCGCGTGTGTGCATGCGCAGGTCGCGTCAGGTCCGGCCCGTGGCTGCCTCGGGTACGTGCGAGCGCGCGCCCAGGTGTAGGTGTGTGTGTGACCACGCGTGCGTGCGCGTGGGTAGTTTTCAGCTAGCGATGGAGCCGGAGGAGGGATCGCGTCCAAGCTGCTAGTGGCCGCGTCGTCCGCGTACGGGCGCGACGGGAGCGCGAACCAAGTAGGCGACGGGCGCGGGGTGTGGGCGAGTGGAGCGCCGTGGGCGCGGCGTAGGGTACGTGCGGGTGTATAAAGGCTCACTAATCCTCTGTGTATTGCCGGCTGGACTAAGTTCGTGCTCAGGAAACAAAAGAAACGCAGTTCGTGCTGCGGGCGGTGTACGTGCACCGGAAAATCGCTTGTGTCAACTAGCTTCTTCTCCCTTCCTTCTTCTGGTTCGAGCTAGAGAAAGGCCACAGAGAGAGGAGGTAGAGCTAGGGCGAGCTTGGCATCGGACTGTGCCAACAATTGGTATATAGAGCTTCGGTTCAGGCGATCACTGGCTACCATGGCGCTCGTCCCACACTGCGGCGGCGCGGGCGGATTGGCGACGATGGCGATGCCGATGCTGTGGACAACTACACGGTCTGGGCCATCAAGGCGCAGGCGATCCTCGACGTCCACACCGTATGGGAGGCGGTGGCGCCGGGCGACGCGGCGGTGAACGCCAAGAAGGACAAGATGGCGCGCGCGTTGCTCCTCGGGGCGTTGCCGGAGGATGTTCTGCTGCAGGTGTCGACAAAGCTCACCGTCAGGGAGGTATGGGACTCCGTGAAGGTGAGATTCGTCGGCGCTGATCAGGTCCGCGCGGCGAGGCTGGAGACGCGGCGCGGCGAATTCGACCGGATGAAGATGGCGGACGGCGAGGAGCTCGACGTGTACGGCGGGAGGCTCGCGTCGATGGCGGAGAGGTATGCCAACCTCGGGGAGACGCTGGGCGACGTAGCACTTGTCAAGAAGTTGTTGGATACGGTGCCGGATCGCCTCTTCCCCGTCGTCGTCGGCATCGAGCAGTTCCACGACGTGACGACAATGGCGTTCGACGAAGCGCTCGGGCGGCTGTGTGCGTTCGATGAAAGGGTTCGGCGCCGTGGACAAGACGGCGGCGAGCGCGGGGGTGAGTAGCTGCTCATGACGGCAGCGCAGTGGGTAGCGCGGGAGCGTCGACACGGCGGTGCTCGGGACGACGACGACGGCAAGAGCGTGGCGTCGAGCAACGGCGGGAATAGGCGCGGGCGCTGCTACAATTGTGGTCAGCGAGGCCACTTCAAGCGCGACTGCACCAAGCCGAGGAAGGGCGCGACGGCGGAGCAGGCAATGTTGGCGAACGCCGACGTCGAGCACGGCGGCCTGTTGTAGGTCGTGGCTTAGAGGGTGAAATGTAGGAATAAGCCACGGCGGGGCTGAGAGCGTGCGCGCGTGTGTGCATGCGCAGGTCGCGTCAGGTCCGGCCCGTGGCAGCCTCGGGTACGTGCGAGCGCGTCCAGGTGTAGGTGTGTGTGACCACGCGTGCGTGCGCGTGGGTAGTTTTCAGCTAGCGATGGAGCCGGAGGAGGGATCGCGTCCAGGCTGCTAGTGGCCGCGTCGTCCGCGTACGGGCGCGACGGGAGCGCGAACCAAGTAGGCGACGGGCGCGGGGTGTGGGCGAGTGGAGCGCCGTGGGCGCGGCGTAGCGTACGTGCGGGTGTATAAAGGCTCACTAATCCTCTGTGTATTGCCGGCTGGACTAAGTTCGTGCTCAGGAAACAAAAGAAACGCAGTTCGTGCTGCGGGCGGTGTACGTGCACCGGAAAATCGCTTGTGTCAACTAGCTTCTTCTCCCTTCCTTCTTCTGGTTCGAGCTAGAGAAAGGCCACAGAGAGAGAGGTAGAGCTAGGGCGAGCTTGGCATCGGACTGTGCCAACAATTGGTATATAGAGCTTCGGTTCAGGCGATCACTGGCTACCATGGCGCTCGTCCCACACGGCGGCGGCGCGGGCGGATTGGCGACGATGGCGATGCCGATGCTGTGGACAACTACACGGTCTGGACCATCAAGGCGCAGGCGATCCTCGACGTCCACACCGTATGGGAGGCGGTGGCGCCGGGCGACGCGGCGGTGAACGCCAAGAAGGACAAGATGGCGCGCGCGTTGCTCCTCGGGGCGTTGCCGGAGGATGTTCTGCTGCAGGTGTCGACAAAGCTCACCGTCAGGGAGGTATGGGACTCCGTGAAGGTGAGATTCGTCGGCGCTGATCAGGTCCGCGCGGCGAGGCTGGAGACGCGGCGCGGCGAATTCGACCGGATGAAGATGGCGGACGGCGAGGAGCTCGACGTGTACGGCGGGAGGCTCGCGTCGATGGCGGAGAGGTATGCCAACCTCGGGGAGACGCTGGGCGACGTAGCACTTGTCAAGAAGTTGTTGGATACGGTGCCGGATCGCCTCTTCCCCGTCGTCGTCGGCATCGAGCAGTTCCACGACGTGACGACAATGGCGTTCGACGAAGCGCTCGGGCGGCTGTGTGCGTTCGATGAAAGGGTTCGGCGCCGTGGACAAGACGGCGGCGAGCGCGGGGGTGAGTAGCTGCTCATGACGGCAGCGCAGTGGGCAGCACGGGAGCGTCGACACGGCGGTGCTCGGGACGACGACGACGGCAAGAGCGTGGCGTCGAGCAACGGCGGGAATAGGCGCGGGCGCTGCTACAATTGTGGTCAGCGAGGCCACTTCAAGCGCGACTGCACCAAGCCGAGGAAGGGCGCGACGGCGGAGCAGGCAATGTTGGCGAACGCCGACGTCAAGCACGACGGCCTGTTGTAGGTCGTGGCTTAGAGGGTGAAATGTAGGAATAAGCCACGGCGGGGCTGAGAGCGTGCGCGCGTGTGTGCATGCGCAGGTCGCGTCAGGTCCGGCCCGTGGCAGCCTCGGGTACGTGCGAGCGCGTCCAGGTGTAGGTGTGTGTGACCACGCGTGCGTGCGCGTGGGTAGTTTTCAGCTAGCGATGGAGCCGGAGGAGGGATCGCGTCCAGGCTGCTAGTGGCCGCGTCGTCCGCGTACGGGCGCGACGGGAGCGCGAGCCAAATAGGCGACGGGCGCGGGGTGTGGGCGAGTGGAGCGCCGTGGGCGCGGCGTAGCGTACGTGCGCGTGTATAAAGGCTGACTAATCCTCTGTGTATTGTCGGCTGGACTGAGTTCGTGCTCAGGAAACAAAAGAAACGCAGTTCGTGCTGCGGGCGGTGTACGTGCACCGGAAAATCGCTTGTGTCAACTAGCTTCTTCTCCCTTCCTTCTTCTGATTCGAGCTAGAGAAAGGCCACAGAGAGAGAGAGGTAGAGCTAGGGCGAGCTTGGCATCGGACTGCGCCAACAGAGCCTGCAGTGGCACGGCGTGGATCACAGGCGGGGCCGCATGGGGAGGGGCACTCGTCACGGCGCGGCTGTAGCCTGCAGCGGCACCACCTGTCCCCGCCTCGGGGTCGCGCATGCGCTTCAGGAAGACGCTGAGGGGCACGACGTAGTCGTCGAAGCCGAGGCGGTTTAGGGCCCACACGATGTCTTCGGCATTGACGGCCTTGCGGCGCTGCATGCGGCACCGTTCGTTGGCCTCGCCGGTGACGAAGCTGATGAACTCCGACACGCATTCTTGGATCGCCTCCTTGGCTTCGTCGGAGATCTTGGCATGGGCAGGGAGCGCGCGGCGCATGATGCGGATCACGTTTGCGATCGGCATCAGCCGGTCCTGCTCCCGCACCACCGGCGTCGCCTGGGTAGGCGCCGGCGCCGCTGGTCCGTTGGGGACGCCGTCGTTCTCCATGGCTAGGGTTAGGCAAGGTGCAATGCAGGTAGTCGCACTTGGCTTTAGGGCTGTGCTTCTGATCAAGTTGCTTCAGTGTGTTAAATAGGCTGAGATAGGCATTAGGTGCTGGCTTAGCTGTCCTTTGTGTTACAGATCAAACGACAAGTGTCCATTGAGTGGTTCTGGCGGAGACATGTACTCATGAATGAGGCTATTAATCAGAGGAAAACGATAAATCATATGTATATATGTGGTTATAACCGTTGGTGGTGAGGGCCGTAGTTTTTCTTTTCTTTTCTCATGACCTGTAGACAGGTCATTTTGAAACTGAAATGGCACATTAAGGGCATGGGCTACGGAGGCTATAGCAAATGCTGGTCTCATCCCCTCCACATAGGATTGTACTGGTGAAGCAATCGCTGCATGTGATTGTCCTTGTTCATCCACTCATGCAACAAGTAGGCTTCCCTTCCTTTTTCCTTTCGCTCATGCTTTCCGCGGCCAAGCAGCGGCGCCTTCTGCAGGCGACTATGACATGCTGCGAATCCACCGTCCCTGACACCCGAGTCTACCTGGCCTGCGGGGAAGCTAGTTGGGGCGACGCGTTGTACATGCCCTAAATACAAAGCAACAAAGCTGCAACGTAATGACAACCAAATCAATGGCGGCACAGAAATTTTGAAGATGGATATCCAGAACAAGAAAACCTATGAAACTACAAGCAGGAAAGAGATTGAATCTGTAATACAATCTATAAATTTGCTAGGAAAAAGAGAGTGAATCTAAAATAAACCTATAAAATTACAAAATTTTAATAAAATTATAAGCAAATGAATATTATGTAGAATTGTGTGTAGTAATGTCAAAAATATATAATAAAAGTGAAAGAGAGAGAAAAAAGAAACAATACCAAGAGAAAAGTACAAGAAAAAAAGTTACAAAATAAGCTGAAATAAAATGCTATGTGGAGATACTGAATTAAACCAAGACCTCTTACTTCGATGCATAAGAAACAACTTACTAAGCTACTGTAATCCCCCTATTTTGAAATCTTTTTCTTAATTATATCTTGCCTACGAGACAAGGTGATATTAACATATTAACGTTTGCTTTCCAATATATTTTGATATTTAGCTGAATACCTATGAATTATGATTGGATTGCTCCCGAGTCAAATGGAAACGAGTAGTATCAGCAATCTCACACACCGCGGAGCCTCAACAAAATATGGGTAGGTGCATGCCCAAATGATAAGGCACCCATTCTTTTGTGAAAAATATCTTCACGTACTTTATTGTTGTCTCCAAGCTGTTGACACAACAAATTTATATTGTGAAACAACTTCATGACAAATTTAATGGCTTCTACTTCATTTCCGTGCAAACAAAAAGAAGAAGAGAAAAACCTACTTTACCACAGTTTGATTGCATAGTTTTTAGGACCTCAAGTTCTTTTTGAGAAAAACCCCAATATATTACTTAATGATCTTTTTGGACACAATACAGACGCTTCATACATGCGCACATACACTCACCCCTATGAACACATGCACGCACGGACACCTTACCCCTATAAGGACCTCCGAGATACTGAGCCGGCACATTATCTTAAGATTGACGAAGTCTCTACATACGCCTACATAGTTGACGGGAACATCTCCTCTCACTTAATGCATGTTGCCAAAACTTGTCAGTCCCATGAGCCACTTTGGTAGCCTCTCTCTTGACTTTGGTTGGATTGAAATTCAGTAGTAGTTGAGAGATTCCGAGCACCTCTATCTTCAAACCAACCAAAGTGGATCCGCTCAAAGAGTGATTAGAAAAAACCCTATGAGCAAACATCTAATCAATCTTCGGGGTAATAGGATGGTCAAAATTGAGAACGATGTAAAGTCCCACCAGGCATAGACGCAATTCAACCTCTTTTGCACGGGAGCAAACATGCATAAAATCCTAGGTTGAAACTAAGATCTTGCCCTCAGAGCCTCTTGCCATAACTCCCGGGCTAGCCAGCTAGAAATTTTGAGCAACAAAGCTAGCATCCACGTCTAACTTAGTGCAATAATCAATCGGAAGTGGCTCCCACAACAGACTTCTAGAAGTTTGTTTGTCACCAAGTTGCTACGGGACACCAGTTATTTGTCTTTAACTTCAAGTACTGAAGAAGACATAGTAAAACTCAAAGAAAAAAAGGACCAATAGTTGTCCAAAATATTAACGGATGCCATGATAGACGCATTTCCTCTCCAAAAATCACATCATTCCTTAACGGCCAAGCCCTCCAGAATATAAATAAAATCTTGGAATGAGTGGAAGTATCAACTTTGTCGAGTAAGACCAACAACCAACAGATATGTCTCAAATGTATTTATAATTTTTTTATTGTTACGTGCTATATTTATATCATTGTGGTATAGTTTTGACACAAATTTCTCAGTGCCATTTGTTGTTTTTGGAGTTTCCATGAAAATCAATTTTTTCGGACCAAAAAAATCCATAAAAAATCAGGAGGGGGCGCATGTGGTGGGCTCATGTAGGCCTGCTTAACCTCCGATCCACCACCTCTCAGTCCCTGTGCCATTATATACCTTCGATACCCTTCGTGATTTGTAAACCCGAATTTTTCTACCACTGCACACCTCTATTTTTCATGATCCAAAGGGGAAATTCTTCACGGTGGCCATCTCCATCAACTTGAAGGTCGTCATGATCACCCGTGAGTAGTTTTGTTGGACTATGGGTCCATAACAGTAGCTAGATGGTTCCCTCTCTCTTGCTTCTCAATACATCTCATGAGCTTCCCTACATGATTGTGATCCATCTGATGTAATCTGTTGGTGTGTTTGTCGGGATATGATGAATTGTCGTTTTATGATCAAATTTATTCATGAATCTTTTTTAGATATATTTGGTTTCTTTGCTAAATAATTCTTATTCCTATATGCTCTCTGATCTATTCTTCCTTGTTTGGCCATGTTTGGGGTTTGATCTTGAAGGGGGAGTTGTGTATGATAGTTGGGTTCAACTGTGCAAGTAAGCTACCAAAGTGATAGAAAGTGGAAAAGTCTTGTATCGTGTTGTTGCCACTAGGGATAAAAATATGCTTGTGTAGTTGCCCTTTGAACACATAGTGAAGACAAAATATCATCTACTTTATGTCATCATACTCAATGCAATAATCTGGTTTTACTTAATACTTTAAGATGCATGCTGGATAGCAGTATTGCGTGGATTATTAGTTATAGATGCAGTTGGATAAAAGTCTATAGAGTTACGAACATGATAATCATATCTTAATTATGCAATGAATATTCATACTCATAAAAATTTCAAGTTAATTTAAAATGGAGCCCCGTTGGCGACCCTGTTGGCATCGGGGTTCACACATAGTACATTTCATTGTTGCATCTTCGCATGGCTAGGTGAATCGAGAGAGGTGGAAGGAAGATGAATCATGGAACCACATGCAATAATTAACATAGTTGTGAATCTGATGATTGAATGGGAGCAGACACATCCAACTCTCGTGAGAGTGCCAACTCCAGTGTAACACCCCGGATGTAATTTACCTTATCTGTACTCCAACTCTTGCCGTTTCCGGCCTAAGTTATTCTATTTTCCTCGGGTTCGGGTTTTTGTCTCCGTGTGTTGTTGCCTTGTCATGCATCTCATATCATGTCATCATGTGCATTGCATTGGCATACGTGTTTGTCATATGCATCCGAGCATTTTCCCCGTTGTCCGTTTTGCATTCCGGCGCTCCTATCTCCTCCGGTGCCCCTTTCTACCTCTTTTCGTGTGTGGGGGTTAAACATTTCCGGATTGGACCGAGACTTTCCAAGCGGCCTTGGTTTACTACCGGTAGACCGCCTGTCAAGTTTCGTGCCATTTGGACTTCGTCTGATACTCCAATGGTTAACTGAGGGACCGAGAAGGCCTCGTTTGTGTTACAGCCCAACACCCTTCCAATTTGGCCCAAAAACCCACCTAAACCCTCTCCATCGTCTCGGTCGTTCGATCACGATTGCGTGGCCGAAAACCGCACTCCATTTGGAGCTTCCTAGCTCCCTCTATGCCTATATATAGATCCGCTCTCGAAAATCCCGGATCCCCTCCTTCCAAACCCTAGCTTTCTACCTCGCGCACCACCGGACATGTCCGGAGTCCGTCGGACAGAACGCCACCGCCAGTCGTAGCACGCCACGTGGTAGGCGCCGTCACCTCGTGCCCGCGGCCCGCCGAGCCCGCTCGGGGCCCCCGCGGCCCAGATCCCTTGCGCCGCCGCCCGAGCTTCTTCTTCCTCTCGCGCCGCCCGGGTCCTCCCTTGCGCCGCCGCCCACTGTCTCGTCGCCGGTCCTCCCCGACGCAGGCGACCACCGACGACTCCGCGCCGGCGACCGCCGACGACGCCGCGCCCCACACCGCCCGAGGTCGCCGCCGCCATCGCCGCCCTCCTCCGAGTTCGGCGACTCCCTCGCCGTCCGCCACCTCGACACCGGCCCACCTCCGCATCCCTAGCGACAGCCCGGCCGATGAACCTCGTTGTGCGCGCCACCGCGACCCGGATCTGGATCGAGAGCTACAGTAAACCCTATATCCGGGGTTGACTTTCCCCCTCTCCCCTTTTTTGGCAATATTCTTCATGTCGTAACTCCACATCCGTAGCTCCGATTTGCGCGCGTAGCATATCAAAACGTTCGCCTCAACGAGTACATCATTTCATCTCATTGTATCATTTTCGTTTGAGCTAATCTTGATGCCAGAAATGCTGTTGGAAGAGGGCTATGTGATAAACTTGGCAGATCTGTTTCATCAAATAGCTTTTTGTCATTTTTGCCATGATTAAAGTGTGCATGATATGCTTCTGAGCTCTACATGAGTTTTGTTATATGCCATGCCATCTTTACAGAGGTGCTTACCATGTATTTTTGTGATATGTGTGGTGACTAGCACAAGCTTGCAAAGTAGCGTAATCGGTAATGCTGATTTCAGGGACTTAGAATTTCACTAAGTCCTTGA